CTACTTTACTTATGTCTATATATAGTATAATATATATATATATATATATATATATATATATATATATATATATATATTGGTTAAACTATAACCACAGTTGTATCAGCCTGGGTTAAGCTTTTACTACAATTGATAAACGAGCGATTAGGCATCTCATACAATCCACCGCCTTCAAGGAGGGCAAGTGTCTTGTATAATCTAATGGGAAAATAGTTAATAATCCGTATGACCATAGAAGAGCAATTGTTACTGGATGGTGTGGAGAGAGTAGGACCTATTACATGCGTCATGTCATGTTATCGGTCTCACCATTCATCGCTCGATAAATTACCTAGATGGTCATATAACACTTGTGAGCAGCGCTAAATAAAACACTGATTGGGCCGATTCAAATCCAATTCTGCAGGGGACAGACTCAGTTCCTTCACAAAACTAGGAATCTGCCCGACTCGATGGGAATTGCCCACATTTGTCAACTGACCATGCAATACAGTCAATGGAATTGGCAATCATCGTTACGAGATCAGTGGCCATTCCTATTTTATGTAAGTTTTAATCTTTCAATGTTATTTTGATCAAAGAGACTCGTCAATCATGATCAGGAATCGCCAACTCTAGATTTGGTACAGTGGAGAGCCAATTGAATACCTTACAGGGGGTTTACAAATTCTACATAGGACCACTACTTTTCTAATATGCCTGTGCGATATGGTACCATAAGAATTTCATATGGTTCTAGGACACCTCCCCAAATGCTAGTATAGAATACTTTCTCTTCCTACTAGGCTTTTGTGTTACAATTTTCCTCTTATTTTGATTGGCTTCTAACAAGCAAGAACGAATTTATATTATCCACAAAAAATGCTGCTCGTTGGAGACAATGATACTAACACGAAGAAAATGGTGCAATAATTACTTTTGTCTAACTATCAATCAGCATTTAAAAATACTCTAGAAAGGAATCAAATCTTCTGGTAACTGAAAGCACTCCATCATCAAGCAATTTTCACAGTGAACACTCTTACGGTATGGTCTGCCCCACAAGAAGCCAACTCGAGAGAATGGCAATCTTCACTCTCACCCAAGCTCCTCCATGAGAGACGATGCACTGTAGCAACATGACACTGAAAAGGGTCTAGTCTCAAGGCCGGCAATGCACTAGAAGGGCAGTTCACGCTCCACAATTCGATCAATCCATGCTCCATGCCAATGGCCAAGAACCCAACTCCATTGCTTGCTGGAGTGTACCATGACAGAGCAGTGATGCTGCTCTTAAATGGAGGCAACCTCATCACTTGTTTTACACAAAAAGCTTCTTCTGAAGAGCTTTTCGTGAGTCCCCATATCTTCACGGTCTTGTCCCTCGAACCAGTCGCAAATTCATGGCCAATGGGGTTCCATGAACACGCCCAAATTATTCTTTTGTGGGCCTCATGCTTTGCAAGAAGCTGATGAGTTACCCGATCTTCTCCTACAGGGTTTTGAAATCCAAAAACCAATAAATGGTGGTTGAAATGCTGGGAAAGATGTAACCAGTAGAATGAAGCATGGGAGTGATGACAAAATTTTCTGGCTGAATTTCAAACGGAATGAACCTTCTTTTTTAGTGGGTCTCCTGTAATCCATCCCCGGCTTTGGGAGGCCATCTTTTGTATAGTGTAGCTTTTCTTTTAATACAAAGTTAATTGCTTCAAAAAAAAGGAAAAGAGAGAATTTCAAACAGAATCTTTGGTTTTTCACTTTTGGCCAAATGTGCCCCAGAAAGTAGGAAGGCTGAAACCAAATCGAATGTTGGATAAAAAGAAATTTTTTGAAATACCACGGTTCTTTTTAGGGAGAAAAAGGCACATGTTTGGGGTAGAATAAATTTTCATAGTTACTAGTATTTTTCCTAGAAAGAAAACAGAATGCTTGGGTAACTCATGCTTAACGCATGGTTTGGTCTAGTACCAGTCGAAAAGCTTTTTGGGACAGTTCTTTTAGGGGAGGGGATAGTGTGAACTTCACAAAACCGTGCTCCAAAAAAACTTGGGACACATTCTCTTTTACCACTAATTGCAACTTCCTTCCTGAAGCTTGAATAAAATTTCAGCCAATAGTTAGCCTAAACTCCAAAATAAGGTTTTCTCCTAAAATGGAGTACCACCTCTGAAGAAGGAATTTAGGCAGAAATTTGCCAGAAAAAAGGTAAAACTGGTTCCAACCCACCCAAAACAGGTCTCAGCAAAGTCCCCAAATTTGGACATTGATGAGAAAAACAAAGATAAATATATCCACTTCATAGATGGTATACATACCTAAATTCTCAATGGAGAACACAGAGAAATGTCGATCTCGCGAGACAGCCAAAAGGAAGCGGTCGTCATGTGAAAATTCAATCTGTGTCACAGTCAAGTTGTGGGAATGCAGGCGGCCCATCACCTTCCATGATCCAACCTCCCAAAGCCATATTTCTGCGACATGGGCAGATTGGGCCTGCAAAATACAAACTATGTCAACACATTGAGTAACATATATCAATGCATCTAGAGGCAATATGACCGCATGGAGTATGGCATATGGCAATATTATCATGTTCACTTAGCTTCAGCCGAAGAGACCAACTTCAGGTTCTTCATAGACAGAAGAGAAGCAAAGCAGAACAACCTTTCTTCAGTTCGATTCCAGCCCCTTCGGCCTACTTCAACCAAAGAAGTGTGCTTCCACAAAATCTAGGAGTAAATTTGGCATTTTTACTGTGTTGAGAACAATTTCGGTAGAGCAAGATCGAATTTTTTTTAATATATATTTTAACTGGAAAAGGAAATGGTAGAATATCCAAATGATAGCCCAGAAAACATTATAAATACCAAAAAATCCACCATATCTTAAAGGGAAAAAAGCCCCTCTTTTAGCTACAAGTTAGCCGGTGAACCCCAATTTCAGTCTTGAGATTTGGGTTGAGATCAACGGTGATCTTTAGTGTACCCATACCATTGTGTGGGAGAGTCCTATAGGATCATTACTCTGATATAATATAGTGTATGTCATATTTATTTTTAATATATAATAAAATATCTTATATTACATAAATATATGATATATATATAACATAATATAATATATAATAAAATATATTATAATACATAAATATATAATATATGTAATATAATGTAATATATAACATAGTGTATTTTATATTTATTTTATTATATAATATATAATAAAGATATTATATACATAAATATATAAACCATATATAATAAAATCTATTATATATTATACAATAAAATATAAAACATATATTATATAATGTAATATAATCAGTGTTTCAAAAAACGCTAGGCAGCACCTAGGCGGTCGGAGGGTTCCAGGCCGTCCAGCGCCTAGGCGGATGCTCAGACGGGTGCCCAGAACTTGGGCGGCCAAGTAAAAAAATATTTGTTTTTGGGTTTTCTCTCTCTAAAATAGCCTCTAATGGGTTTTAGGTTTTAAATGAACCTAAAACCCACAATTTTTCCCTTTTAGCATTAAAAAATAATCCAAAAATACCCGCAAGGAGCTGCATTTCCACCCCTGGGTGGGGTGCTGGCCTTGGGCAGCCGCCTAGGCGGGTTCAGGCGGGCACTCAGGGATATCCGCCTAGGCAGCCGCCCAGGCGCTGGGCGGTCCGCTTTTTGAAAAAGTGAATATAATATATAATAAAATAAATTACTTTATTAATATTTATTTGTATCATATAATATATATATATATATATATATATATATATAATAAATAAGATAATATAACATAATACAAATACAAATATAAATATAAGGAGGGAGGCAAAATAGGGTTTGAAGAACCAAGTTCCTATTTTAAGTTCCATCATTTTAGATGGAACCTTCTTTACTGTATAAGTTTCGTGCATCAAACACGGAACTTGTAAAGTAATGTGGAAGTTTCTTCTGCCTCCCTTAACTTCTTGTTATCAAACACACTCTAAATCAGTCCAACGTGGAAGCTTTTCGATTTCCCAGCCAAACCAAAGAAGCCTCCAAAGCCAATCTGATAACATTGGTTTATGTAACTCCATAGTTGTTGGGAGCGGGAGGAGGAGCAGGAGCAGGTCCAGGTGCGGGTGTGAGTGCAAGAGCCCGGATCGGCACTTGGCTAAAGCTCCCTACCTTTGGAGCGCTTGGGAGCGTTGCTCAGGGAGCGATCTCGTATATATGAACTACATGTATATGGGAGCGCAGGGGAAGCGCCCCAAATGTGTGTGTGTCTGTGTAAACAACTTTGATTGTTTAGGGCCTCAGCCTTATAGAAACCACACCCTTCAAAAATAAAGTATGAACACAAGATAGACAAAAGTGAGGCACAAAGTCCAAAAGAGTACATTTTCTATTACTAATAACATGATTTATACGAAAGTAAAGAGCGATGTGTTAAAATATATACTATAGTAAAAACTTAACAATTAAAATAATCAAGGAATAGATTCAAGAAAGATTTGAAATGAGATGTATTAAATGCTAGAAATGATACAAAATAAATTTTTAAAGAATTGAAAGACATAAAGCTAAGTACAAAATCCAATAAAAGATTTTGTACTATCATCCAAAATTTTGATATGAAATAATGAGAATAAAATAAATTAAATGAAAAGAAATCATTACTTTCAAACACATTTAAATAATATACAAAATTCTTCAATTAAAGAAAAAATGAATAGATTGATATGACATCTTGTTTAAAAAAAATAGAATCTATGAATTCTTAATAATTTAAATATCAAGAAATTGATTTAAGGAAGAATTGAAGTGAGATGCATTAAATGCTTGACATGACATTTAATTAATTATTTAGGAAACGAAAGACATAAAGGTAAGCGCAAAATCGAATAAAAGACTTTGTACTATCTTAAATATCAAGAAATTGATTTAAGGAAGAATTGAAGTGAGATGCATTAAATGCTTCACATGACATTTAACTAACTTTTTAGGAAATGAAAGACAGGTAAGCACGAAATCCAATAAAAGATTTTGTACTATCATCCAAAATTTTGACATGAAAATTAAGAGAATAAAATTAAATGAAAAATAACACTACTTTAAAACATTGAATGATATAAAAAAAACATCAATTGTAAAAAATATAAATAGCTAAATAAGACATTTTGTTCAAAAAATTATTTCTATGAAATATTAATAATTAAAAATTCAAGAAATATATTTCAGAAAGCTTTGAAGTAAGATGCATTAAATGCTTAAATGATATTAAATTAAATTTTCAGAGATGAAAGACATAAATGCAATTACGAAATCCGTAAAACGTTTTGCGCTATAGACAAAATTTTAATCCTGATAGTTATGAGAATAAATAAATAAATGAAAATTTTCATTACTTTCAAACACTTTTAAATAATATAAAATAAAAGAAACCAGCAATTGTATGGCATCCATAAATGATATATAAGACATTTTGTTTAAAAAAATTAATTCATGAAATCTTAATAATTAAAAAGCCATATACTTAGTATTCTTTATATTAAGGTACATTGGTTTAGTAGAATTAAATTAGTGTTGATGTTATTACTATAAGATTTCTCATGGACTATGCTACATATTTGAAATAAGATTACTCATGGACTATGCTACATATTTGAAATGAGTTCACGGATTGTGTACTCATTAGCATATACTTAGTATTTTATGTAATAAAGTACATTGCTATAGTTGATTTAAATTAAGGACCTGGTTTCTATGCAGCCAAGCCCGCATATGTAGAAATGCAAGCCTCTTAATAAATCTATTTTTGAGATGGATTTTAAGAATTAGTTTTTAAGGACATGTAATCTCTAACATGCAGATCATGAATATGAAAAAATAAATAAATTTAAAAACTAAAAATAATAATTCTAGTAAGAAAATATTTGAACTGTTAGTCCATTATTTTTAGATGGAACATCTACTTGCATCCATCATTAAGATGGATGCTTTACACTTTCTGAACCGCATATGTAGAAATGCAATCCAACCCGCATGAAACAATTCTCCTTAAATTAATGTTGATAGTCAAATAGTATTATATTAGAAGATTTCTCATGGATATGTTACATAATTGAAATGAGTACATGGACTATAAACTCATCAACATCAGTATTACTAAAAGATTTCTCATGGACTATAACTCGATACCATCAGGGGTAACAAGCACATGCATACAAGCCCTTAAAATTGACTCGTCATATTCGAAATGCGACCCATCTTTTGAGGAGTCGTGATCCCCCATTGATAGGGATCAGGGTCCTTTATAGTCAAGGATCGAGATCCCTTTAGATTAGGAATCGAAATCCCTTTCGATTAGGAACGGAGATCCTAATACGTACGGATCGAGATCCCCTTATGCGAGGAAGAGAGTACCACTCGAGGGGAACACCACCCCTTCACCAAGATCCCCGCAACTATGTGTAACTCCCAAGGGGCTTCTACCATCCCTCCAGATGAAAGACAATAAAGATTAACTGCAGAGGAAGCATGATGTACCAATACATTCACGCATGTACAATTAATCACACAATGGAAATGGAAAGTAGATGGCCATAACATACTCCATTGAACTCTAGTATTGTTTCCCATCTATCAAACCACAAGCAATGGCTCGTTCTCTAAACTTTTAGGTGATTCTCTGTTTTTGCGATGATATTGGGTAGCCATCAGAGCATAAACCTTCCCAGAAGACGAAAAGGAAGAAGATTTGGCATTCAATACTCTTGAATGACATTTGCCTCTTTCCCTTCATAATGTTTTTTAAAATGACCAAGAAACTAAGCATATATGTTGTTTGTGGATGACAATTTTGATTGATGAGACTAGAGACAGAGTAAACACAAAGTTAGAACATTCGAAGGACGTTTTAGAAGCTAAAGGTTTTAAAATTAGCCGGACTAAGACAGAATATATTGAATGCAAGTTAGTAATAAGCGGAGCAAAAACGAGGAATTAGTCAAGATTGATAACCAAGAAGTAACTAAAAGAGATTATTTTTGGTGCCTCAGGTAGATAATCCATGAGAAAGGGGAGATTAAGGAAGATGTTACTCATAGAATTAGAGTTGGGTGGACAAAGTGGAGTGCTTCTGGAGTCTTATGTGATTGTCACATACCAATGAAACTAAAAGGGAAGCTCTATGGGATGGATATACGATCAGTCATGCTTTATATGACGGAATGTCAGGCGGTCATAAGAACGACATATCTATAGAACAAGTGCAGTTGAGATAAGGAAGTTGAAATGGATGAGTAGCAAGACAAGATAAAATTTGGAATGAATACATTCGAGGGATTCTAGGGGTAGCTCTAATAGGCGATAAAATGAGAAAAAGTAGACTTAGGTGGTCTAGTCATGTGCAGCGTCAACCTAGAACAATACCGTTTAGGAAGGGTAATTTGGTTCAAGTGATAGGCTCCAAAAGGGTAAAGGGAAGGCCTCAAAGGACATAGATGGAAGTAGTAACGAAACATAATGGTGATTCATGGTCTGTGGCCCTTCATAGAGCAGAATGGTGGAACAGGATTTGCATAGCCAACCTCAGATAGTTGGTATAAGAATCGGATGATGATGATGATTTACCACCTAGTGATTTCTTTATATGAGTTATAAATAGAACTTTGATACATAAAATATGGCCTTATTTTACTATTTGTAATAAATTTAAACATATTGTCTTCAATTTCTTCTTTTCCAAATGTGTTTCCTAAAAGGTCATCTCTTTAATAGACTTTTGGTTCTTCATGCAGTCCACATTGTAGAGACCCATATTATATGCCTATCCTGTAGCATAATTGAGGAGGCAATAGCTGGCATGTATATCAGAAACTCGCACATTAATCCAATGCATGCAAATGCATAACACCAATTGGTCAGGATTTAATATATAGGAGCTTACTAAAGGTTTTCCAATGCAAAAAGTTGATTGAGCAATTATGCTTCTCGGTCAATTCTAAACCAGAGAAATGACCAAACTGGAAATATGGGTAGAATTCACCAGCGAGTGCATCATCTTGGGAATCTAGATTTTTATAAAATCATCATCGACTTTTTCAGGTTCTTCTGCAACAGGTTGAATTGGTATTTTTGTGCTGTGATTTTGCCGAATGGCTGAAACAACAGGATTGTAATATTCTCCACTATTGCCAATCTCCAATCACCCAGATCAGAAAACCTAAAGCCTTGAAATAGATTTTGTGATGTTAAATGGGAATAATTTATGTCATGACAGAGAAATCATAACCAAGGATTATTTTTGATGTCTCATGTTTCAATAACAACTACGACCAAACGCAGTGAAGGTGATACTACAAACCTTGCATGCTGAAGCTATTAGCTTTCCTCCATGATCACAGCATAAAGAATACAGTTCATTCCCATGACCATAAAGCTTGTGCGATTCAGGCCATAGTGTATGCCAAGCTAGTTGTTCCTCAATAGGAGGTGATGTCAGGGCAATCGGAACTGCATCCAAAATGGTCTCTAGTTTATCTGCTCCATTGGCAGTGGATTTGTCCACAGCAGTATTTGCAGCTATGCAAAATCAAAAGCTTTAAGTTAAAAGAGAATTCAAATAACGAGGACAAAAGTAGATCACTGAAAAAAAATCCAGGTAGATGAAAAGCCATTATAATAATGCATAACGCAAAAATTTATGTAATTCTAGACTACAGTTCTGATAGATAGAGCCTTCTATATAGCACTGCTGATAGATACCTCCCTCTTTATGCTTTCCCTCCCGTCTTTCTGACTCGTTCATTTTGGATGCAGAAATCTTAAGGGAGAAAGCATCCAATCATCTCCTTATCGAATGGCTTTGTCTATGTTTTGTTTTCCTTTTCTTTTTCTTCTGTTTTTCCTTTTTTTTTTATTGTTCTAGTGCAGTGATATTAAAACCTATATTACTCGAACTAGAAACATGCATATCAGACACTTAAGAGTGTTTAGCATTTCTTTATTATAACCTAAACCCCATTAACTAAGAAGTGGGGTATGGATTATATATATCAGCAGGGCCATATAAAGGGCTCTATCTAAGAAGCGAGGAACGGGATCTATCCCCATAGACGCAGAATTGGGGTTAATATCTATGAGCAGGTTATGGGCTATAAGATGAGGAGCATGGGCTATGCCCCACTTCTTAGACACAGAATTGGGGTATGGGCTATATCAGTTACTGCTGATGGATATACCTTATAGACAAGGAAGACTTGAGCTGTAAACAAGAAAACCTCATTTTTTGGTTGAGCATTTTTCTTTATTCTAAAATATTATCTCATACCCCACTCCTTAATTACTGGGATCTCCCAACTTGGTGTTGGTCCCGACGATCCCATGCTCCAGAAGCAGGATCTTGGGTGGATTCCACTTCCATATGAGGGGAACACAATCCCATATCTTACGGATCGGCCAACATAATTGACACCCACGTTAGGTAGATCTTTAAGTAACAAGTCTTAAATGCATACTGATCAAAGGGAAAATCATAATCCACATGCTTTCGAAGAAAAAGAGCAGATCCAATAGTCAAGATTAATAGGAACTTTAAAAACAAAAGCAGATTTAATCCCTGTTTTTCCAAAGAAAAAGAAAAGTCTTTAATGCATGTAAATAAAAATGAAAGAAAAATTCATGGCAATCACATATCATTTTTTCTTTTAACGGGAAAAATGTTCACAGGCAGATCCATTAAAAAAGAAAAGATAATTATAAATACAATGGCTTTATAAACACATTAAAGTTTGGCAACTCTGGACCGAAAGTCAGCTCTTATCTCTCCCTACATTTATTCTCTTTCTATCTATGCTTTAGTTTCTTTCTACTGACGATCCCTCACTCCTGCATCTACTACCACTTTCAACAACAATTCCCCGCTTCATATGAGATAATTAGCATGTTATAAGCATACCATCTTATTGTGTTCCATCACTAATGCATAGAGGTAGATCGTCATACTAAGGAGCAACAGTTATTTGAAGGCATCATCAATCCACCCAACATCTCCACTTCAGAGCACACTGTTGACCACTTTACCAAAGCTTCAACCAGAGGCAAAGATAACATACTCAGTGATATTGTAATGTAAAGGTCTGAGTCTCATCTCATTTGATGATTATAATTAGAGAACAAAGTCAGGTATTGTTGAGTACCAATATTCATTACTGGAGTCAAGGGCATTGTTGTTTTACTATCATAATTGTTTAAATATCGCACTAGGATCCTTTTTGCCATTTTAGAGTCATGCAATCTAGATTAAATGATAACAACAGTTATTTAAATTAGAATAGTTTGTTTAACTTTGCAGCATATAAGAATGTATATGTTGGTATATATACATCTAGAAGTTTATATGCATGTATTAGACACGTCTGTGAAACGATTTGCTTGACAAACAGCTTCATAAATGCACACTTTATATCTGGGGCCAATGTGAAGCAATTAAAATATCTAGGTGTAAATCCTTCTTCAATGGGACATTTCTTGTATGCCATGTAGGAGTTTGTAGTACAAAAAAATTATATCTGTGATTTTGTAACTCCGTCGTGTCGTAGGATCAGAATTACATATAGGCCGAACAAGAATATTTGATAAAACTGAATTAAATACCCTAAACAATTTCATAGACTAATCCATTCAACAACCAAGAAAGCGAAGAAACAAAAACAAGTCAGCCTAGCTAGTTCTCATTGACAAGAAGATTCCTACACTAAGGAAATCTAACAACCAGACAAACTTTCTTGGAAAATTGTTTGGTGCATCCAAGCCCGCACCTTTTACTATGTGGGCTTGGAGATCTACACTGTCCACCAAAACTGGGTCCCATAAATAATAATCCTCCAAAGAAGAAGTAAAATCAACGTTTCAAATATTTTCTCCACAAAATATCATTTCTAGTTTTTAAAATTTATTTATTTTTTGGAGATTGATAATCTCCATGTTAAAGATTATATATTCCCTAAATATTAGGACCAAATTCTAATTCAAAAATAAATTATAAAGAGGCCCGTATTTCTACATGTGAGTCAATGGACTCATAGAAACCGTGTCCAACTTTCTTTCCATTTTCACTTTTAATATATGTATATATAAACACCTAAATTTTCAAGGAGTAAAATTTAAACCCACACATCACCTTTTTAGAGGGGTGCAAGGGATAAGGGCAGTGGGTGGTCTCTTTCAGCTCCAGAACCATTTTTATAGAGAGAACAGGAAAGCTTTGGGTTTTGCCCTTTTATGGCCATGGATATCCAAAACTATTGAGCATAGTGAAGGCCTTCTTTTTAATGGTAGCTCACATGAAGGCCCTCTTGTGCATTCCCATCAATGACCTACGTGTGTATAACCAAGTGTATAAAACTGTGATCTAAAAGCATTAAATTGATATATGTAATCATGGGCCGCTTGGCCAGCTATATAAATCATATTTTCATGTTTTGAGTCTCCTGATTTCCCTAGGTTGTATTTTAATTCATCTTCTATACTTTCTTTTGGCATGTACTCTCATGAGAAAATAGCCAATGGTAGTAGTTGAATAGGATATATGGATTGGTGGGTATATATCAGAACTAAAACATTACCTCGCTCTGCTGAGGATGTTATGCCAATACAGCCAACCCAAAACACTATACGCATCACAATAACTACTGGACTACAAAAAGAAAAACACAAAAGATCAACAGAAAAGCTAAGCACGGAGAACAAAAACCACAAAAACAAACCGAGATGAACCTCACAACTGAGATCTCTTGATGTAACGATGGGATCAATAATTGGTAGCGAAAGATTTGATAAACAATAATGAAGGTTCCACAAAGTGAAAAGTTGGTTAGAGACTACCTTGAATCATATTTATGATCAGAATTGGAGAACACCTCTCATACAACCAGACAAAACTGATGCTAATATAATAACATGAGCTACATAACCCTAACAATATATGAATGGGGGCAAAAAGAAAATACAATTTTACATGCAATATGAAGTATTTTTCATTCTCCACTTCTATATCAGTTTTTGGTTGCAATATTGAACACCTTATGTGTCCAGGCAACCAATCCATGCTATACGACATAAAGGTCGAGAGCAGAAACATCATCATCATCATCATCGAAGCCTTTTGGGGTCGGCTACATGTATCCTGGTCCGTCATTCTACTCTATCAAAGTCATACTCTCAATGAGGCCATAAGTCCCAATATCTTTTCTCACTACTTCCAACCATGTCCTTTTGGGCCTACCCCTTACCCTTTTTTAGCCTTCCACTTGAACTAACTCGCACCTCTTAACAGGTGTTGGACTGGTTCTACACCACACATAGCCAACCCATCTAAGTCTACTTTCTCTCAGCTTATCGCTTATTGGTGTCACACCTAAATTTTGCCAAATGTCTTCCTTTGAAATTCTATCCCTTCTTGTCTTTTCACTCATCCATCTCAACATCCTCAGCTCAGCTACACTAATTATATGGGCATATTGTTTCTTGATCGCCCAACATTCCACGGCATAAAGTAAAGCTGGTCTCACAATTACCCTATAGAACGTGTCCTTCAGCTTCAGTGGTATGTGGCAATCACATAAAACTCCGGTTGCACATCTCCACTTCGCCCACTCAGTTCTAATTCTATGTGCGACATCTTCCTCAATCTCTCTGGTTTCCTAGATCATCGACTCAAGATAATGAAAGTGGGATTTTTTTGGTATTTCTTGGCCGTTAACCTTAACTACTTCCTCATCTCTACTTCTATTATTATTAAACCTGCATTTCATATACTCTGTCTTAGTCCGGCTAATTTTAAAACCTTTAGATTCTATATCATCCCTCCAAAATTTTAACTGTGTAGATGTTGTTTCCAGTTTCATCGATCAAAACTATGTCATCCGCGAACAACATTGTCACACCTCAAGAATTTACAATACTGATATTCCTGAGATGTGATAGTCAAAACATATATACATCTCGTGGCAGGATAAATTTACAATGGCGAATTCTTACAAAGTAACAAAAGAAAGTTTAAGCACAATTACAATATCTTCCAAAGTTGATCCTGACGAGCACTCAATATGAAACCACAGTTATCCTGAAAAAATGTTTACCATAGTTTGATGAGTTTGGCTACTTGGTAATTGATCATCATAATCCTAAAAATAGTCATGGTTGAAAGATATCAATATTTTCAAAAAGGAGATCTATTAACAGAAATGCATCAACAGTTTCACTTTCAAAAATGCATAATTAAGTATAATCCGAATAATTGAAATGCATATAACATTTTAACGGCAGTGCATAATTCAAAGGATTTCACAAATTACCCTACTGGCATCCCAAGTAGGTCACCTAAATACCCCATCAGCATCTTGAAGGGTCTACTTAATCCCTATCGGCATCCCAGATAGGTCAACTTAATCCCTACAGGTCCACTTATACCTCACCGGCATACCGGATGAGTCCACTTAATCCCTACCAACGTACCGAATAGGTCCACTTATATCTTATCGGCGAACCGGATGAGTCCACTTGCATACTTAAAGTATTTC